GATCAACCAGCCATGAGCCATCAAATGGGCAGCAGTCACATAGAGGGAAAGCTGGACAGAGAGGAATGCATAGATAAGAAGGGCCCAGGGAGGGGGCAGTCACACAGAGGAGAGGGGAGGAGAGCTTTTTATGGTTGGGGATTGTAATCAGGGGCCATGAAACCAAATCTGCATGAACTGTTGAGAGTAGAATGAATCTGCTTTGTAAATTTGCACCCAAATCAACAATAAAAAATTAAAAACAAAGCACCTGGGGATCTTGGAGAAAGGAAAAAAAATTCCCACTTTGGAAACCCTGTGGGGGTCACCATGAGTCAGAATCAACTGGACGGCAGTAGGTTTGGTTTTTGGTTTTCTGCTATTTTTTTAAAAAAGGAAAGAAGTTTAGAAGAATATCCACTAGTGTGTTAATACTTTAAACAAGAAGAGAGATTTATATGAAAGGCTTATTTTCTGATGTTTGCTTTTCTGTATTTTTCAAACAATTTCACCTCCCATGGGTAACCACAGCTACTATTTTGGTATATTTCCTAACAATTAAAAACACTGCATTTTAAAACATCATTGGAATCATGCTGTATAGAGAGTTTTCTTTGTAAAGATCTTGCCCATATCTTATGGGGATGCTAGGAGTTTTTTCACTCCTCTCTCCTGGAGCATTTATGTTATTTCTGATTTTTCAGTGTTTCAGTGATGCTGTGATGAATAGGGGCACTCCTGAGTTATTTTGTTTCTCTCTCTGAATGTTCCTTAGGATTAAGTCCTAGAAGTAGAGTCAGAAAGAATAAAATTTTTAAACTCTCATTGTATATGAACAGATTGGATTTAAAGATTTCTGCTCATTAATTACTATCAAACAGGCTCTTGATCGTTATTTACACGTTATCCCTGACTTTTGACAGGTTTCAATTCAATGAATGATTCTATTTTAAGTTGGATCTAACGTAAGTCAAATACCTCTCTTTTTTTTTTAGTTTTCATTATTACTGTCTTTTACTATCAATATCTTTATAAATCCAATCTTTGTTTGTCTTTGGAGGTTGGAAACATTACATATAAACCTACAGGTATATTTTAATACATACGTATATACATACATAAATTCACAAATCATCTTAAAAGAAAGAAAACCAGACTGTCCTAAGTGCAGTTTGTCATAATTCAATCGTGTTGTGAGTCAGAGACTACCTGTTTAGTAATCAAGAGTGCTACTATATTTTGCCCTATTTATTTTTAAAGCATATCTTATCTTAGTGTAAAAATGTTTTTTAAAAAAAATTCAAAATAACATTTTTTAACTTTTTATTGTGATTTGAGTGAAAGTTTACAGAGCAAATTCATTTTCTGTTTAACAATTCACACACATTTTGTTTCATGACATTGATAGCAATCCCCACCATGTAACAGCACTCTTCCCACTTCCTCCCTGTGTTTACCATTTCCTAATTCAAAATAATTTGAAAATGAAAAGTAAACAAATCCCATTACCATGAAAAGGTTGAAAAAGAAAGAAAAGTGAAAGATCGTCCTATATAGGCTTTATTATTATTGTTTGTCTAAGAATTTCACACGGATGGGATAAAAGCATGGGTGTAGCTCATTTTATTGTGCTTCACTATAATTTTTTTTTTTTTTTTAACAATTTAAAAGCTGTGGTAACCCAATGTAGAGCAAGTCCCTTAGTGCCATTTTTCCAACAGCATGTGCTCACCTCATGTCTTTGTGTCATATTATGGTAATTCTCACAATATTTCAAACATTTCCCTAATATGGTTGAACACTTAACAGACTACAGTGTAGTGTAAACAAAGCTTTTATATGCATTGGGAAACCAGAAAATTTCTGTGGCTCGTTTTATTGTGACATTCACTTTATTGTAGTGTTCCAGAACCAAACCCGCAACATGTCTAAAGTATGCCTGTATATGTAATTGTGTTACCTTACTTTTTTCTTTAACATTTATCTCAAGTATTTCTCTCCTATTGCTACTTAGTCTCTATGACTATTATTTTTAATGACTGCAAATTATTCCATTGGCCATAAATTTATTCCATTTGGTACATAAATTTATGTACCAGAATTTACTTAACTATTTCGCTACTGGACACTTAGATTATTTCCACATTTTTACTTTTACAACATGGTGGTGAATATGGGCTATTTCCTTTGGTTTAAGTCCCCAAAATGGATTGACTGGGGCTGGATTTAAGTTTGTATTTATGCAGACTTTTCACTGATTCATACTAGCCAGTTTTCTAAATTAGTCTTAATTAATGAGGCTTTACTTTTGTTGTTGTAAAAAATATTGATAAACATATATAATTGAATAAAATCAGTTACATCAATCATGTTGGCAACCATGACCAATATCCATAGCTATACACAAAAAACAATGAGGCTTTATTTTAACAACTACGTGAAACTGAGGATGTTCTCTTTGGTGAACTATCCAGTGGAGGCTGTGATGTGCATATTAACCAAAGTAGTTAGGGTGCTGCCTCATTTGCAAAGTGGCCCTTTTGGGCTCTGGCTCTTTCATACACAGAAGACTACGAAAACAGAGCGCTGTTCTTGAACATCCTTTGGTGCTGTGGTGAATGTGTTCAGCTGTCACTCACAGAAACCTTTTATTCCACATCCTTTGCCAGCGAGGAAAGAAAATACACAGTCAGGGAGGTAGTCATCCTGTAACCCTTCCTTTCTCTCTCTCCCCTTTTTGGAGGACATCATCAACGAAGGATGGAAATGCATTTATGGTTTCTCCTTTCTGCTGAAGCAAACTCAAGCAGCTTCATTTTCTGAAATACAGAATTTTACAAAGTCCATAAATGCTTCTTTGTTGACCGGGAGCTGTGCGGTTTGGCCCCCAGAGTTATCTCAGATAGCACAAATAAATCTGCCGGCCTCCAGTTGTCTCCAAGCAAGCATTACCCCCTTCCCCACGCTGTCTCCCTCCTTGCAGAATTTCCTCTTGGCCTTCAACAGCACAGACTCCAGTCTTCTCATTAATATGCCCTGTTAACTGCTGCCAAACCCCTAGCAGTTTAGTGCATATGTTCCCTTAATCATTTCTCTTTGTTCTAGAAGTCTGCATTTGGTTTCTGAACCAAACTTTTTCTTGCCCCTACCCCCCAATTCCACTATCACCATCATTGGCTATAGCATATGACTGTCTACTGTCTACATGTTTATTTAAGGAGCATCCTAGATTGCCAGGAATAGAGAGAGACCCAGCAATCTGCTCACAATGTGCCAAATCATTTCCCTCTGTCCCACTTAAAAGTCTGTTAGCCATCGCCCTGAGACTCTGCAGCCTTCAAAGACCAGGTGAAGGGACCTTGTAGAAGGCAAAGGTTCCTAGAAGACAATGTTAACTACCAGCGTAAACAAAGAGTTCTTCTCAGGATTTCTGCCGTTCCCAACACAAGAAAAGAACGCTTTATTCTTCGAGCCCAATGGTGTATGGGCACTCTCGATCTCAATGAGTTATTCATGGTGTCCAAGAGAAATACTTCTGGAGCTGTATTTCATGTGAGATGGAAGTGGGGCTGGCACACTAGCCGCGGGGCGGACCGCTCACGGAGAACGCCCTGTGCTCGTTCCAGCAGCAATGTGGGAAAGCAGCTGTGGCGCCGCTGAGCCCCCTACCCCGTGGGGCTGGGGTCTTCTTAGCAAGTCGTGGTGCCCTGTGGGATCTTCCAAACATGGAGAGTACATGGCGGCAGTCAGAGCTCCGTAATAGTGGGTGTGCTACCTGGGAGTTTGAGCAGGGGAGACCCAGTGTGTTGTTTTTCTCTGCGTTTAAGTATTTTTCTTCTCTTCTTGAGTCTCAGCCATTTGTACAGTTCCACTCAGCTCCTTTACGCTGGAGGAGAGGGTGAATAGCTACTCAGAGCTTGATCTTTCCTTAGTGTCTCATCTCAGCACAGGGACTATTATTGGAAACTTTATGTTCGTACAGAATGCCATCTCTTCCTCATCCTTCCCCTCACCACTTCCACCCCAAACACACACACACAAAATAAAGAAAAAGAAAGCATTTCAAAGACGCCCTCAAAGCTACACTGATAAACGAGCATTTCCCATGATCAGCACACCAAGGTTTTTTTTTTTTTTTTTACTTTAATAAAGCCCATCATGAGTTACGTCTGTTCAGTACCTAAGCAGAAAGTTCTGGAAGCAAAGAGGGAAACTGTCCTAACGCAGTATTAAAATACAGTGTAGCCTGGAGACAGTTCTCAGATTGGGGATGGGTTTCCCCCTTCTTTCTTGCCCTTTTTGAAAAAAGTTAACTTTGACTTGTTTGGTAGAGATATAGTGCACTTTTTCTGCCTATCCCCAAAAGGGAAGTTTGTATTCTTTTAAATGAAACCATTTTAAAAGCACAACTCAAGCCTAAAATAATCCAGGGTTTTCCCGAGTTCTCAGAAGGTGTAGATTTATTTACTATAGTTAAAACATAATTAGTTCTCAGGGGATAGTGTATCTTTTAAACTGCTTTATTGCCACCATATTGGTTTTCTAAATAATCAGAAACTTCTGTTATGATTATAGTCTCGTGTTTGGACAGAAATGCACAGTAAGTAGAAACAAATGTCAGGAATTGCGAGTTGTCACTTAAAGAAGGGACACCACATGGGAGGGTGGGGGAAGAAGCTGATAGAGTATTCCGAGGAAGCACAATCTAAAGAAGGCTTAAATTAACAGCAGAGGCAGATACATGTACCCCTCACACACACACATACACACACTCTTTGCTGATATTAAATGGTCTGTTTTCATCCCTCTCCAGTTATTTTCATTACAAGGAGTAGGAAGGGGGGATAATAGCCCTTCTGGCTTTCTATTTCTATGGATTTTTGAAGCAGGTAGCCGTTGAGCCTTCTTTAACCATATACCCACAAATGAATGCAAATCCTGTCCTTTTCTCTGTGTGTGCTCTTGGTTCTCATATCCCCAAGTCCCTGTTCTGGCTGACCAGCCTTTCCCACGTTTTGCAGGTTGATGTTTAAGTTGCCACAGGAAATGGGCTTAATAGCCATCGCAGTCCAGCAAACGCAAGGCCAAGGTCAGTCAACTTTTGTTATCATTGTCGTGGGTTTCCTGTTAAAATCTGTGACTCTCATAGTCAGAGAGAGAGAATCAGTTATGTGTGCTGGTATGGGAATGACCACATGTAAAAAGTCGTGTCTGTTTGCTTACTCCTTCTAAAATGGAGATTGTTGTTGTCCACTATATCCCTACCAAATGAAACTGTCAAGTCAGTTTCGACTCACAGCAATGCTGAGTACAACAGAAAGAAACACTGCCCAGTCCTGTGCCTTCCTCACAATCATTGCTATGCTTGAGCCCATCGTTGAAGCCACTGTGTCAGTCGATCTCATTGAATGCCTTCCCCTTTTTTTCTGACCTTCTACTTTACCAAGCATGATACCCTTTTCCAGGGATTGGTCGTTTCTGACAACATGACCAAAGTATGAGAGACGAAGTCTGGCCATTCTTGTTTCTAAGGAGTGTTCCAGATGTACTTCCTCAAAAACAGATTTGTTTATTCTTCTAGCAGACCATGGTACATTCAATATTCTTCACAAACATCATAATTCAAAGGCATCATTTTTCTTCAGTCTTCCTTATTCATTGTCCAGCTCTCACATGCTTATAAAGCTATTGAAAATACCATGGCTTGGATCAGGTACAGTCTTCCAAGTGACCTCTTTACTCTTTAACACTTTAAAGAAGACTTTTGCAGCAGATTATCCCAATGCAATATGTTGTTTGATTTCTTGACTGCTGTTTCCATGGGCATTGATTGTGGATCCAAGCAAAATTAAATCCTTGACAACTTCAGTCTTTTCTCCATTTATCAAGACATTGCTTAATGGAGATAGAAGGAGGGAAAACTCTTCAAAAGATTTAGCCTGGATAGAATTAAAATATTCTCTTCAAACATTAAAGTTTATTGATCACTTGACATTATCTTGTGATGGCTTTTACATAGGGTTGCCTACATCTTGTAAATTTTTCTTTATGACACACTCTAGGCTTTGCAGTTTGTGAATCATAACTATGTGATTTAAAGCAAACAAAAAGCCATTGCCATCTAGTTGATTCAGAATTGTGGTGACCCTATGTGTTATAGTTATGTTTATTTTCCTAAAGGTTCTCTGTGAGGTGCTGGACTCTCTGGATCAATACTCAATGTCCCATGGCAAGGAGAAGTAGACAGCCAAGAAGACTCAAAAGAGTCTTTCATTTCCCAGCCCCACCCCAGCTGGCACTGGAATTTGAGTGGACACTCAATCAAGAGTTCCCGGGCAGCATTAATGGTTAAGCACTTCACTGTTAACTAAAAGTTGGCAGTTCAAGTTCATGCAAAGGCTCCTCATAAGAAATCTTGATGATCACCTTCCAAAAAATCAGTCATTAAGAACCCTGTCGGGCACAGTTCTATTCTGACATATGGAGTTGCCATGAATTGGGGTCAACTCAATGGCAACTAGTATAGTTTTGGTTGGACATTCAATCAGGGCCGGTTCACAAAGTGAACAGAGAAGTAGAAGGATGCTCAGAGCTTCCACTACGTGCTGATCCTCAGAGGTGAGAGCCCACATCCTCCCAGAATCCACTTGGGATCTGGCAGGGGGTTGGTTCCCTGTTCAGTGGTCTGTGCAGGAAGCAGATGGTGGATGGATGAGGGGAAAGCACTTGGCAGGGCTCTGCAGGGCAATTGGCACCAGGCTGACCCAAATGTGCTTTAACTCTCAAAAGTTTTCATGAATTAAAATTCTCAGGAGAAGTAAAGAAATAAGGAATCTGCTATTTTCCAGTGCTTTCTCCTGAATATGTCTTCCATACATAACTGAAAGAGAAGGAAGAATGTCATTTTATCCAAAGCTATGGTACTCAATATTCTGGGTTAAAAAGTAAAATATATTATAGATAGAAGATCTCTGATTAACCAGTTAAATTCTTCTTTTGATTTTTTTTCCCCTGACTTCTTTTTTAAGAAAACTAACAACTCAGAGAGTTAATCTCAGGGATCACTTTTTTTTTTTTTTTTTTTGTAACAATTTTGTTGAAATATAATTCACATACCATGCAATTCACCCATTTAATGTGTACAATGCAATGATTTCTAGTACAAAAGTTCAGAGTTGTACAAGAATCACTTTGAAAAAGTAATTCTGGATCAGTGTAGTCTCAATCTAGTTTTCCCCCTTTTTTTTTTTTTTTTTTTTTTGCCTATATCACCATATGGTGAGAATTTAAATTGAGAATGATGTTCAGACAGTAAAATTTTGAATCATCAAACCATAATGATTTGCTCACAGAGGCAGAATATTATACTAATTATCAGCAACTTTTTCGGCAACAGTGCTTCAAATCTTTAAAAGCTTTTCTTTCATATTGAGTTAACCCCAGAATATCCAGGCATTTTAATAAATCAAAGTTTATTTGAAAGGGATCTCTCATAAGCATGGGGCTCCAAGGTCCTGGTGAGGGCTCCACTGAGTGTGTCCATGTGGACAACGGGGCTTGTTTTCCAGGCCGGGGAAGGAACGCTTGGCTAAGCCCTACAGGATGTGCTCTCTCTACTCTGCTTGTCTGCATCCCACTGAAATCCCAACTGGGACAACGAATCCCTTTTGTGCAGCATCTGATGTCCCTGGCCATCGTGGAAGCTGTGAGGTCCCTTCCTGGGTACCAGGTATGTATAGCTTAATGCACTTGTAGCTCTTCATTGTGCATGCAGGGTTTGATTTGTTTTTGTTTGTGGCATATGTTTTCATAATTGTTGAATGTGGAACTTTAACCTGCTCCTTGCAAAGCTGGCATGGAGGGTTCCTGGAGTTTTAAAAGCACCATCACATTTTATTGCTGCTTCGGGCTTGCTTGCCAGAATGCATTTATTTCCCAGAATTCCCTCTCCATCCTATTTGTCAGATTTCTCAAATGTCCTAGGAAGGGCAAGCCTTTTTTTTTTTTTTTTTAATTAAAGCACATTGGGCTGGATAAGAGCTTTTTGTGTTTTCTAGTTAAAAAAAAGGAAGAGGAGGAGGAAAAAAAAGCTTTTTTTATGGACTTAAAAAACTTGCTTGTTTCCTACCTCCACCATTTACTACCATATGTTCTCAGCCAGTACGTCTCTGGATGATACAAACAGTTAACATGCTTAGCTACTAACCAAAAGGTTGGTGGTTCTAATACCATCAGCAGCACCACAAAAGAAAGGCTGGTGATCGACTTCCGAAGGATTGTTGTTGTTAGTTACTGGTGAGTTGATTTCAACGTATAGCAACCCACGTGTGCAAATAAAACTGCTCCGTAGAGTTTTCAAAGCTGTGACCTTTCAGAAGCATATCGGCAGGCCTGTCTTCTGAGGGGCCTGTGGTGGGTTCCAACTGCCAATCGTTCAACTAATAATCAAGCTCTTAACTATTTGTGTCACTCCGTTGACAACACTGTGGAGCATAGTTCTACTCTGACACACAAGGGGTTGCCGTGAATCAGAGTTGACTCATCAGCAGCTGGCTTTTTAGTTCAATTCTCAGCAAAGGTATTGTTGTGTGCAGTTGACTGAGTTCAGTAGCTAGGCTTAGTTGAGACAGTCCTCCTACCCCCAGCTATAAGGCAGATGTGCCCGTTTCATTGTTACTGCCAGCTGCTTTGGTGTCACTTACGAAAAAGACAAGGAAAACTGATTTGGTCCTTTACTCTTATGCCTGGGCTCCATGTCCTATATGTCCCTCCTAAATTTTCCTGGATGAGTTTCATATGGATACTTTAGGATGAAAAAACAAACAAACAAACATATAAATTGATATATATCACCTTGATTCCTGAAGCAAGATGTTAAGAGCATGATTCTCAAGGAAAGAATCTGAGGTCTTGTCATCGGTATTTAAATGAAGAAGCAGGCCTCTCCACTGCCCCTTACAGCCCCCTCCAATGTGACCATGAGCTCATTTTCTCTGTCTAAAACTTTGGCATCCCACAGACATAATCAGTTCTAAAGTATATATTCCTATATTATATCCAATCGCTGACATGTATGTTCGTACATGGCATTCATTATTCCCTATTATTCGTGACATCCTTGCTACATCTGATTCTGATGAGTTTCAGACTCATCAGACTATTAAAAAACTCTCAGAAAGCAATTGAGAATATGAAGTTCTGTCATAGGACAATTTTTTTTTTTTTTTTTTCACTCTTAGCAACAGTCAAACAGCCAGGTTAATTAGTCTTAGGAAAAAGACGTAAAATTGAGCCTAGAAAATTAAATGTGCCTGTTCAGCTTTTTCCTGGCTTTGATTTTGACCTTGTGGCCTCATTTGTTAATTCAGTGAACATTCTTTGAGTGCCTGCTGTGTGCAGAGGGCAATGCCAGGAGCTGGAGCAGCAAGATGAGTGATGGGAAGGTCGCCTGCAGCAGTGCCCTGGGGCTTTATCTTCCCAGTTCTCCTTAAGAGGCTCCCACTGAAAGTTTGTATCCTACATGCTATGGCATTGGATTTACATTTAACAAAGTCCTGTTCACTTACACAGTAGGGCTACAGGCTGGTTGAAACAGTCCACAGTTGAGTGGAGTTTGCTTTTCTTATGTCCTTTGCTAAGACCTCAACTTGTCCTTAGAAGAAAGCACCATCAACACACAAATACCAACCAGCCTTGCTGGGTCAGATGCAGCATCACTGGGCTGCCTTGCCTCCATACTCACTTCTCCTGTTCTCTTCTCTGCATCCTGAAATTCTGTTCATCCTTTGCAGCCCAGCTCAAATGCTATTTCCCAACTCCTCCAGCAAGAAAGCCTCCTTCCTCTAGCACCTAGTTGTTGTTGGTGGACATCATGTCAGCCCCCAACTCATGGTGATACCATGCATAATGGAACAAAATGCCACCTGGTCCTGCACCAGCCCCATGATCAGTTGTGGACTGGAATATTGTGACCCACAGGGTTTTCATTGGCTGCTGGTAGGACGTAGATCACCAGGCCTTTCTTCCTGGTCCATCTTAGTCTGGAAGCTCTGCTGAAACCTGTTCAGCATGAGAGCAACATGTAAGCCTCTACTGACAGATGAGTGGTGGCTGCACATGAGGTGCATTGGCCAGGAATGCAACCCAAGTCTCCCACGTGAAAAGCAAGAATTTTACCACTGAACCATCAACAACCTTCTAGCATCCTATGGTACTTTAAATGTGTAAACCTCTCTAATGGTGTATCTACTGTATGTTTCTCAGAAGCAGTTATTTGTACTCCTGTTCCATCTCCCTACAATATAACAAGCTCTTTGAAGGCAATATCAGTTTTCTTTTGGCCTCCTCATGACTAGCATGATGTTTTATACATGGAAGGATCCTGCCATAGCATGTAGGATGTTTGAAGAAATGATGGAGTAATGAAGAAGGAGTAACACGTGACCTTCATCTTAGAATAGGTGTTCTTGTTTAGCTGAATGACAGCCCAAAGTTTAACAAGCTGCATCGTTAACTAACTGGATCAGAAAATGTGAAGTCAGAGAAGAACCAGAGAGCGGGGCCAGCTTGGAATAAGCTGCCGCCCACACAGCGGAATTGTTTCTGAGCTTTGGGGACTCTGTCAGTGTCATCCTGTGGAGGCAGGACCTCGTCCTCCTTCCGTGGTGGTGGGCACAAGCAGGGTGTAGGAAAGCAAGAGGAGAAATACCAGAAATCTGGGAGAATGGCAAAGATCAAAGTTTCCAAGTTACAGATTCTCTAGATCAGAGTTTCTCCACCTGAGCACTGCTGACATTTTGGGACAGATCTTTCTTTGTTTGGGAGCCCTGTGCTGTGCATTGTACATGTCTAGCAGCATCCGTGGCCTCCACTCACTAGATGCCAGCAGCCCCCCAATCTCCATCCAGTCATGACAACCAAAAATGTCTCCAGACATTAGCAAGTGCCTTCTGGGGAACAAAATCCTCCCCCCATTAAAAACCTCTGTTCTAGACAGAAAAGAACTTTGAAGCTCCTTATTGGTGAAGGATCACAGTGAACACCACACATTTTAGTTATACTTTCATTCTTCTGTGTTTCTGATCATGCATTTCTTCTCTCAGCCCAGAATGCTATGCTAGGACAGATGAAGCTGTTGTAGCTAGCCGAGAGAAAAAGAAGGCCCATTAAAAGGGAAAGGGGAATTTCATGGAAGCAACAGGCCCCATGCCAGTTACCACTGAGTTGACTCTAATTCACGGTGACCCACGTGTGTTAGAGTAGAATTGTGCTCCACAGGGTTTTCAATGGCTGATTTTTCAGAAGTAGATAGCCGGGCCTTTCTTCCAAGGCACTTTTGAGTGGACTTGAATCTCCAGCCTTTCATGAGCAGCTGAGTGAATTAACTATTTGCACCACCCAGGGGTTCTAGCAGTCACCATAGCATAGCACTAAGCACATGGGCTTGAGGTCAGATCGCCTTGAATTGTATTTCAGCCCTGCCACTTCCAAACGCTGTGGCCTCAGGCAAGCCACATGGTCTCTTAAAGTTTCGGTCTCTTCCTCCATTGAGTGGAGATGATAATACATAGACTAATGCTGATGATGGGGCAGTGGTGGTTCAGTGGTAGAATTTTTGCATTACATGAAAGAGACCTGGGTTCAGTTCTCAGCCAACATACTTCATGCCCAGCCACCACCTCTCTGTTAGTAGAGGTTTGTGTGTTGCTATGATGCTGAGCAGGTTTCAGCAGTTTCCAACGTAAGACAGAGTAGGAAGAAAGGCTTGGCGATCTTCTGAAACCAGGCAATGAAAGTGCTATGGCTCACAACAATGGAATTTGCAGTGGTCCAATCAGCATTTTGTTCCATTGTGCATGGGGTCCCTATGCATTGGAGGCCAACTTCAGGGCAGCTAAGCAATGCTGAGAAGGGGCACTGTGCCATGCATTGAGTATAGGGCCACCCCAACCCCAAGAATGCAGGGAGACTTGCCTCATGGCACTTGGAGGTCATTTGCTACTCTCTGGTCTTTCACCTTTGTCTCTCTTCTAGTCTCATGTCTTCAGTCTGGCTTCCTCTGCCCACACATGGTCCAATCAGTCTGCCAGCCCCAAGTATAAGAGATCCATGGTTGTGATGCCCAGTCAATATAACCAACCCAACTTGTATGTCCCCACTTCAGAGCGGGGAGAGGAGAGGAGTTGCTTGGCCCAGCTTGAGACAGTCTTTACCCTTGTTCCACTCCACGGTGACCAGTACAGGCAGAGTTGCCCAGGCTATACCCTTCAGGATTGAGAAGCAGTGGCTTGTATGATGAGTCCATTTCCAGTACTCAAGTTGACTGTCAGCAGTTGTAAATAATATTAGTTATTATTTACTAATAACCCAGTAAATGAGTTCCTCCTCCACACCCTCATAGCACTCTATTGGAGACATTGCTACCTGCCTTTTATGACTTTAGTTAATTCAAGGCCATCTTCTCTCTCGAGCATGCACTCCTTAAGGGAAGAGAACCCTGAGAGTATAATTCCCTCACTGTGCCCAGCACCTAGTACATGATGGGTGCTCTGTGGTTGTTGTTGGTACGGAGATAATGAACTTAATTTGCAAGATAGGCATCTTCAGAAAGTGTTGTAGATGACTATGAACAGTGATGATGGTGGGGCAGGAGTGCTAAAATGGGTGCCATATATGTTCTTTAAGTCTCTCTTTTTCTTGCTCCAAGAGGTCCTTTGAAATTGGAGTATCCCAAAGAAGTGATAAGCTCTCTGGATGAGGCCCAGTGTCTCATTAGTTTCAGGTTGCTTATTTTCCTGTTAGCTAAGTGGCGTCATGTGGTCCTTTTGTGTCCTGTGAATCCTTGATTAACATGCAGATGTTCCTTCAGGATATCAACTTACGAGTGAAGTGGCCCAACGATATTTATTACAGTGACCTCATGAAGCTTGGTGGAGTTCTGGTTAACTCAACGCTCATGGGAGAAACATTTTATATACTTATCGGTAAGTTTAAGGAATCCTGGTGGCACACTAGTTAAGCACTCAGCTGCTAACCGAAAGGTCAGCAATCCGAACCCACTACCCACTCCACAGGAGAAATATGTGGCAGTCCACTTCTGTAAAAATGTTCAGCCTTCGTTATAAAAAGTCAGGGAAAGGTTTACGCAAGGAAGGACATTGACTCTGTTGGTTTCCAGGGATGGGAGAGAAGAGGAAGGAAAATTTCTGACTAGTTAAGAGTCATGTGTTGATTTGGGTGATGGGAAAGGCAATAAATATGACAAAAGTGTTTGACCAGCACATTAACAATAGGGAAAAAGAGGACACAGAAACATACACAAAAGATATAGACAACAGAGGTAAATACTATTACATACACAATACTGCATTACCAGTAACAGCAAACACTGTTCTACAGGTAAATACATAGATAGGTGAGAAGATCAGGTATGGGTAGGTAAACAGGAATATACCAATGACCATAGATAGATTTGGCTGATGATGATGTTACATGTGTATTTGTGTTACATAAATATCCATATATATTATGGGGCTAACAGGGGACAAGGTTGGAGTCGTTTCTCAGTGACAACCAAGTACTTTCAGGGAGTGAGTCACTGGGCCTGCAGGCTCGGGATCATGGTCTTGGGGGACATCATGCTCAATTGGCACAGCATAGTACGTAAAACTCTTGTTCTATGCCCTACTTTGGTAAGTAGTGACTGGGGTCTTAAAAGCTTTAGAGTGGCCATCTAAGATGCAGCTGTTGATCTCCCCTCGTGTGGAGCAAAGAAGAGTGAAGAAAATCAAAGTCATATGGAAACAATTAGTCCAAGGGTCTGACAGACCACAGGAACCTTCATGACCCTGAATCAGAAGAACTGGATAGTACCTAGCTACCAGTGCCAAGCACTCGAAAAGGGAACAGAATTGGAGATCCTGGATAGAGTGAGAGGAAAAATGTGGGAAAAACTCAAAAACACAAAAATGACCAGAATTACTGATCGGACAGAGTCTGGTAGAAACCCTGAGACTATGGCCCCAGGTTATCCTTTGGGCCTAGAACTGGACTCATTTCTGTGGATTAGTTCTCAGTCAAACAGTAAAAAGGCCTGTAAGCAGAACACCTGCCCCAGGGAGATGCACACCTTGGATCAGTGAAGCCTGAGACATCAGAAAGGCAGCATTTGCATAGGGGGAAAGCTGGGCGGACAGGAATGCATAGGTAAGAAGAAGGCAGGAAAGGGGTAGTCCCAGAGAGGAGATGAGAGGAGAGCTTTTTATTGTAGGGACTATAATGGGGCCGTGAAACCAAGTGTGCATAAACTGTTGAGAGGAAAACGAATCTGCTTTGTAAATTTACACCCAAACCACAATAAAAAAACTTTAAAAAAAAAATTTTTTTTTACAACATTGGAAAGCCCATAAGGCAGTTCTGCTCTATCCTACAGGGTCACTATGAGTTGGAATCAACTCAACAGCAGTGGGTTTCTGATTGATAAATTTTAAAAAAGGCCTTCTTCCAGCATTTTTTTTTTTTTTAGATTGACAAAATAACAAAAATGAAAATGGTTTCTATGTGGCTGTGTTGGGGAGAGGAGGCAGTGGTGGTTCAGTGATAGAATTCTCACCCTGCATGCAGGAGGCCTGGATGCCATTCCCAGCCAGTGCATCTCAGATACAGCCACCATCTGTCTGTCAGTGAAGGCTTATTTGTTGCAGTGATGTTATGTGTTGCTATGACACCAAACAGGAGCCTCCAGACTATAACATACTAGGAAGAAAGGCCTGGCAATGTACTTCTGAAACACACAACAGTCTGGTACTATTGTAATTGGGTTCGCAATGAGTTCACAACAGCTCACAATGACAGCATGTGATGTTGTTGTTGTTATGTGCCGTCAAGTTGGACCCGACTCATATCGACCCCTCCTTGGTTTCCGAGGCAGTATCACTACGGAAGTAGATTGCCCGACCTTCCTTCCGAGGAGTAGCTGGTGGGTTTGAACCGCCAGCCTTCTGGTTAGCGGTCAAGTGCCTTAGCCATTATGCTACCAGAGCTCCCACCGCATGTGGTAGGGAATGAATAATTAAATAGATACTTTTCTTTGAGTCTTGTAGTTTCAGATCATGGTATGTGTACAAACAGGGCCAGATCAGGTGAGAGTGATTTAAGAGGGAAACAACCAAATTGGTATCTTACCAAACAGACATTTTCTTTAACTTTCTACACTACTCTTTCTAGTTGAACTAGAGAGGGTACATGTAAGTATTTAATGTACCATTTCATAGTGAGAAAAGAAAGTTCATTTCAAAGATGATTCTCCTGGTGGTCTCAAATTCTTTATCTTGACCTTTCCAGGAATTGTTGTTGTTGTTTTGTACCACAAGTCAGCTCCAACTCATAGAGACCCTTTGTACAGCAGAACAAAACACTGCCTGATCCTGCTCCAGCCTCATAATCCTTGCTGTACCTGAGCCCATTGTGGCAGCCACTGTGCCAGTCCATCTCATTGAGGGCCTTCCCCCTTTTTCACTGACACTTCACTTTACCAGGGATGATATTAGAGGCCATGAAAAAGTTGCCTTCCTTTAACTTTCAGGAGCAGCTCCAGGCTGCCAGGCAGAATCAAGAATACCCATTTCATCTCAGTCCATCCATGTCATGAAAAGAGATGGATTTGGCAATTTCAGAAGTACTTATGCCCCTGGCCACCCAGCCATCATCCCCCACCTAATGTCCAGGAGAACTTGATTGGTGTTCAGAAGTCTGTAACTGACAGAAAGCATGTGACCATGAGTTGGAAGTACCGGCCAAAGAATACAGGGCTTGTGTTTCCTACTCAGCTACCAACTGGCAGTATTATTCTGGGCAAGCAGCTTCATATCCTTAAAGTTCCGTTTCCCATCTTTAAATGAGGAATTGGACAAGATGCAAAGATTCCTAAGTAAGGGCCCATGGATGTCCAGGAGTTTCTTGGTAGAACCCCAGGGAACTAAAAACCCCTGTCAATGGGGGGATGGAAGGTAGAATGAAACATTTTGCTGGAGGGAGGAGGCTTGAGGAGGCTTTTATTAAATTCCTAAGAGGCAAGGGAGGATAAGTTGGGGGTGGTCTTTGATCCCGGAAGATTCAAAGTCCTCAGCAGGGACCCTCTGTGGTCCTTGGAAGAACACACTCTTAAGTTCTCTTACCAAAGGCAGTGAAAGCAGTCAATGTTGCTATTTTGCCTTTGACTTTTAATTTTGTGAAGACAAGGGAAAATATTCAGTAGTGCCTAAGGCATTTGACTGCTAACCAATTCCAACTCCTAATGACCCTGTGGGACAGAGTGGAACTTCCCCATAGGGTTTCTAAGGCTGTAATCTTTACAGAAGCACACTGCCACATCTTTCTCCTGTGGAGTGGCTAGTGGGTTCGAACTGCCAGGCTTTCAGTTAGCAGCCAAATGCTTAACTTCAGCACCATCAGGGTTCCTTTGAAGCCCTGGGATAAGAGTCTGTAAAACCACTCCTCAAAAGGAAGACTGGGCAATCTACTTCTGTAGAGATACTGCCTCAGAAACCCAAGAAGGAGTTGCTATGAATTGAATTGACTCCAAGGCAGTAAGTTTGGGTTTGTTTGTTTGTTTTTTTTATAGCATTTAATCTAATGCCTTACACTCAGCAGGCACTGCAGATTTTGTGCCTATCAATGATTGAACTAACAAATGAACAACTGTAAACTCCACCCTGTTGCTGTGGCTGATTGTTTCTCCCTGTTATAATTTGCATTGCTTTGTATTTTAATGGCCAGCCTTTGCAATGTAATTCTTTGTTTAAAAAAAAAAAAAAAAACCTCAGACTAATCAAGCCTTCCTTTCATGCTGAAAATAGCTTGGAACACTTACTAAGAATACTGTTGTTGGAAATGCCATCTTCTATCTGAAGTGAGTATTTTGGGAATTGTTTTCTTAGAAGCTCTGAAAACATGATAGTCTTAGTGCCTACTTCTTGCAGTATTTAATTTCTTATTGAAGACCTCCTTGAGATTGATTCAGGGACCTGCTGAAAAACTAAGTCCTAGTGTTTTCACTAAAATAAAAGTAAGGGGGAAAAAAAAACAACAACTAAGACTTGGCTTCTCTGAAGACTCTAACCTCTCCCAGAGAGGATATGGTATTGAATAACAGCACAGAGAAGCCTATTCAGTCAGCACTGCTGGTTACTGACTCTCCTAAAGCCTTGGGTCTAATCCAAACCAAACCTGTTGCCGTCAAGTCAATTCTAACTCCTAGTGACCCTGTGGGACAGAGTGGAACTTCCCCATAGGGTTTCTAAGGCTGTAATCTTTACAGAAGCACACTGCCACATCTTTCTCCTGTGGAGTGGCTAGTGGGTTCGAACTGCCAGGCTTTCAGTTAGCAGCCAAATGCTTAACTTCAGCGCCATCAGGGTTCCTTTGAAGCCCTGGGATAAGAGTCTGTAAAACCACTGAACATGTGTTGGCTCCTTGCCAACAGCATGACATTAGCACTGAAGACTTCCAAGGACAAAATCATAAAAGATACCATGACCAGGGTTTGAAATCTCTGAATCCAGAGTTTACTCTTGAAGTCCTAAATAAGATTCTCTATTTTTAAGAGTATGTTTTGTTATTCAAGTAGGAAAAGAAGTAAGAAATTTCATTTTATGTGGGGCTCAGTGTAGAGCTACAATTCTTGGTTAGAGCTCATGAGGTATAGTTATTTCATAAGCAACTCTGAGAAGTGTAGTCCCATAATGTCGCTGTTGTTAGCTGCCGTTGTGTTGACCCTGACTCACAGCGACCCCTGCCCAGCAGAACGAAACACTGCTGTCCCCATTCATGATCAGTTGCAGATCAGACCATTATGATTCTTATAGTGTTTTCATTGGCTGATTTTTCAGAAGTAGGTCACCAGGCCTTTCTTTCTAGTCCACCTTAGTCTGGAAGCTCCACTGAAACCTATTCAGCATCATAGCAACACACAAATCTCCACTGAGAGATGCTGGCTGCACATAAGGTATATGGATCGGGGATCAAACCCAGATCTCCCACATGGAAGGTGAGAATTCTACCAGTAAACTACCAATGCCCCATGTCCATTAATAAAAACAATAACGGTCAAGTAGATTCTGACTCGTGACAGCTCATTTAATAGTGTCTGTTTAATTAAACTGAATCAAATGTGGCTTTATTTTTTTCCAGTTCTTATATGCAGTGAAGTTGGGATGGTCCTAGCTAAACAAGGATAATAAAGGAAAAATGAAAGGAAAGATGGTGTCAAAGATATTTAAGTTATTCTCTAAGGGCCCACAGATGCTAAGTTTGGGGGGCACTTGAAAGGAGGAAATGGAAGCAGGAATTGGATAGTAAAAACTTAACTTTTTCTGGGTGGTAGAGAAGAACATTTGATGTCAACAGTATGTTGAGCTGCACATGTTTTTCACATGTTTGTGTGTTTGTTTTTATTCAGGTTGTGGAGTAAATGTGACTAATAGTAACCCTACCATATGCATCAATGATCTCGTCACAGAATATAATAAGCAACACAGGGCAGACCTGAAGCCCCTAAGAGCCGATTTTCTCATCGCTAGAGCCGTGACCAAACTGGAGAAACTGATCAACACGTTTCAGGACAAAGGGCCGCATGGCGTACTTCCCCTTTATTATAAATATTGGGTACACAGGTTAGTGCTAGCTCTTCTTCTTTCTTTAAAAACTCCTTCATTCAATTAGTTCAGTATTTTCCAATGTGAAGCTAAGCAGCAGTCTAAATAATTAGTTTTTACCTTTATAATGAAGAAGGGTCCCTGGGTGGCAGTTTGTTCTGGACTACTAACCAAAAGCTTAGCAGTTGGAACTCACCCAACATTGAAATGGAAAAGAGGTCTGGAGATCTGCTTCCATAAAGGTTGCAGCCAGGAGAACCCTACAGAGCAGTTTTACTCTGCCACACATGGGTCAGTAGGAGTCAGAATTGACAACAATGGGTTTTGTTTTTGGTTTCATAATGGAGGAGCCTTTGGAAGGAAGATGGTGCAGTCTGCTTCCATAGTGATGCCACCTCTGAACCTAAGGAGGAGTCGCTATGAGTCGGATCTGACTCGACAGCACTGAGCTTTGAGTAATGGAGAAGCCTCGTGGACAATACCTCAACTAAGTTAACATCACCAAAAATAGGACAGGCAGGCGTCCCACGCTCCTGCTGGGGTGGGAAAGACACTTAGCTCCTGGGGGTTTTCCTGCCCAACTTGTTTAATCTGAATCTAATTGTGGGGAAACAATCAGACAAATCTAAATTATAGGACACTCTATATATAACAGTAGGAGCTCTGAGGGCGTAGTGCCTAAGACATGTGACTGCTAACCAGAAGGCTGGTGGTTCAAACCCACCACCCACTCTTCTGGAGGAAGACTGGGCAATCTACTGCAGGAGAGATGCTGCCTTAGAAACCCAAGGGGGGGGGGTCGCTATGAGTTGGATTCAACTCGACAGCAGTGATATAAGGAGCTCTGGTGGCATTGTGCCTAAGGCATTTGACAAGCCCACCAGCCACTCCATGGAAGGAAGATGGGGCAATCTATTTCTGTAAAGATTACCACCTCGGAAACCCAATGGGGGTTGCTGAGTTGAAACCAATTCAATGGCAGTGAGGTTTTTTTTTGGACTCATAGTGAGCCCTCCTTGGGTTTCTGAGGCTACAGTATCACTACTCTGAGTAGTTTGCCCAGTCTTCCTTCCAAGGAGTGGCTGGTGGGTTTGAACCACCAGCCTTCTGATTAGCAGTCAGATGCCTTAGGCACTATGCTACCAGAGCTCCTATATGACAGTGGTTCTCAAAGTGAGGTCTCCTAGAAGCAGTGGCAACAGCCTCACCTGGGAACTTGTTAGAAAGGCATATTCTAACAGAATTCCCATCTCTACTAACTGAAAAGTTGGCATTTCAAACTCACGAAGAGGCATCTCGGAAGATGGGTCTGGCAATCTGCTTCTGAAAGGTCACAGCCTATGGAACAGTTCTACTCTGCACATATGGAGTTGCCATGAATTAGTTAAACTTGATGGCAACTAACAACAACTGACTGACTGAGAGACTCAATCAGAAACTCCACAGGAGCCCAGCAGTCTGTTTTAACAAATGCTCCAGGGGATTCTGATGGAGCTGAAGTTTGGGAACCACATCGGTGTAAGTCCAGACTCCTACCCTTCAAAAGTGTCAATGTCTTGAAGCAAACACCCAGAATGAAGGTGGAGGAATTAAAATTATGCAATGTATAACCCATAATTAGGTCCTGGGTGGAGGAGATAGCCATAAAAGATATTAATGGGACAATTAGGGGAATTTAAACATGGATGATTTATTGGATAATATTATTATAACAAGATTGAATTTCTTGAGGGTGATAATGTGGTTTTGTAAGAGAATGTTCTTATTCTCATGAGATGCATGCTGAAGTATTTAGTGCCATAGTGTCTGTAATTTATTTTCATATTGTTCAGGGGGAAAAAAAGTATGTGTGTGTAAATTAAGAAAAAACCAAAGTCCTTGCCATCAAGTGGATTCTGATTCATAGCAACCCTTTATGGAAGAGTAGAACTGCCCCCATAGAGTTTCTAAAGCTGTAAATCTTTAAGGAGGCAGCCTGCCTTATCTTTCTCCTGCCAGTGTCCCAGTGGGTTCCAACACTCACCTTTCAATTAGCTGTTGAGTGTTTAACCACTTGTGCCAGCAGAGCTCCTCTGTGTGTGTGTGTGTGTGTGTGTGTGTGTGTAGCAAGAGAGAAATTGAATATGGAAACTGTTAGTAGTTGGTAGTGAATGTAGGTAAAGGGATTATGAGGTTCATTCTACTATTCTTTCAACTTTTCCGTAGGTTTGAAATTTCTCGAAATGAAAGTTTTTGGGGGATTCTTTTAAGGATGTGACTTAACAGGTACATTTGAAGAAGATTCAAAAGATGTAATATTAAAGTGAGCTGAACTTGCAGTTGACATTACCCAACTTTCTGAAGTCAAACTGCAGCCTTTTGTTGGCAGCCCAACACTTTCACCACAGCACCACCAGAGCTCTTTCCTATTGTGATTAGGAGTTAGCAAAACAGTTCATGTGAGACCTGAGACAATCAGAGCCCAGATCCCGTGCATTTTAACAGAATCTAGCCTCAGTCCTGTCCCTTTGCATAATGGATCATCACTTAACTAACTGTGTGAAGCCCATGCCTTGTGTTTCCCAGTGGCAACCTGTTGTTCTTCATTTCCAGTGGTCAGCAAGTCCGTCTGGGAAGCCTGGAGGGCCCAGAGGTGTCCATTGTCGGCCTAGATGATTCTGGGTTTCTTCAAGTCCATCAGGAAGGCGGCGAGGTTGTAACTGTGCATCCAGATGGCAACTCCTTTGACATGCTGAAAAACCTCATCCTCCCCAAACAGCATTAGCTGCAGAGCTGGGCTGGGAAAGCCTGCCCATCGCCTTTGGTCCTCACCCGCTTGCCTGGTGCAGTGGTAAGGGGTAAGAGTGAAGCCAAGACCACCGCAAGCATTCCAGTTTGATTTCTGCTGCCTTTCCTGGCCTGTGGATCTTAAGCACTAGTTTAGAGCTACAAGTCAATTTTTTTTTCTTTCCTCCCTGCAAGTAGTCAATTTTTAAAGTTGTTTTTTCTGTGTATGTGGGTTTGTTTGTTTTTTTTTTTTTTTTAGGTTTATTTTGTTGTCATTTTATATAGTTTTTGAAGACATTCTAGAATGGAGAATTGACAAGTGGAAGATTTAGGTTAGGTAAACCTACCATATGTGTGAAACTGCCTTCCTCACCCTGGTCCTTGGGCTTAGATTTGTGTTTATTGCCCTATGACTGGGCAGTCTACTTCTGTAAAGATACTGCCTCGGAAACCCAAGGAGGGGTCACTATGAGTTGGGACCAACTCGATGGCAGTGAGTTTGGTTTTGGTTTTACTATACTATCTATTGCTATGGGGTCAATTTCTGACTCATGGTGACCCCATGTGTTACAGAGTAGAACTGCTCCATAAGGTTTTCTTGGCTGTAATCTTTATGGAAGCGTATTGCCAGGCCTTTCTTCTACAGCACCACTGGGTGGGTTCACACTACCAGCCTTTAGGTCAGTAGTCAAGAGCAAATCATTTGTACACCCAGGGACTTGTTTATTGGCCAACCACCTGTAAAAAAAAAAAAAAAAGTTCTTTCTTGGGTACTTGGAAACAGTGAATTGAGATCATTCAAATGTTTTCTCAATCCTATAGACCTTAACCCTTGAACTATTAAAAAACAAATCAATAAACACTCTCCAAACCAGGTCAGTGGTGAGTTAGAGGTATGGTAATACTTTGTAAGAATCCAGGGAGGCATTTTCCTTCAAGCCCATATGCTGACACTCAGCTGGGGTGTTTATTTTTGTGTTAATGAAGAAGAGAGAAGGTAGGCCTTTCAGTTACTCTCTGCCCTGTGGTTTGTGGTCCAGTGATCACTGTGTCATCAAAATGACTGCAGGGTAGCATCTAGCTGGTAAGGATTCAGTGACATTGTAGAGGAAATCATGGACATTATTTCACAAGCTCTCCTTTCATAAGTTTAAATTTACTGCCTAGTCTGAAGAGATGAGATCCAGCTCATGATCCTTCAAGCGTTGATTAGGCACTGCTTGGATGTGAGGGGCGGGTGATTTGGCTCTAACAGCTGGAGATGAAGGCCTGCTCTCATACCACACACAAGGGAGGATTTGGAGTTTTTAAGCCATTTGCAGGCTGACTTTGAAATGTGGCACGTTCTACAAGACCCACATGCGTGCAGTAAAGCAGCACAGAATACCTAAGTTCAGGCATTTTTTCCATGCATTGCGAAGGAAGAAAATTATATTGTTACTTAATACCATCAGTTAAGAGTATGTGCATGTGTGTGTGTGTGTGTATCTTTAAAAGATGTTAAGAATCTGATAAGCTAACAATCTCCACAGAAGAACAAAAGAAAGGAAGCCTTTTGATACACATTTGATCTTTCCAGATGTACTTCATGCTTTTTCCATGTAACTTCTATCTCTGTTGAACTTATGAATCATACACATTACTTCTCAGCCTTGAAAGGCCAATTTTTGTCCACTTTTCTCTCTTCCTGCCAGTCCCATCTGAAATTAGTGGAAAGAAATTCTGATGGAACTCTTAGCTTTGAACAGAATCCCCTCGTTGTAAACCGGCCCCATCCTTACCCAAGTCATACATAGCCAGGTTAATTCCAGAAATTTGTGGTTTCCAGGATAAAATCTGTGTACCTTTAGCCAGGCACAGGCTGCCCCACGAGAAGAAAAAAAATTAACATGTTGAGTTAAGGACACCAACCCAGTGTGTATGTTTTTGGAAATGTCACTTAAAAAGAATTATAATTTTTTTCAAAGAAGAAAGTTTCAATTGGAATTTTTTCTCCCCCCCCCCCAAGAAAAAAAATCACTCTTTCCTGAATGTCCAAGTCTTCTTTTGAAATCAGTGGCAAGTTTTTCCAAAAACCCCACACTGAGCCAAAATTACAAAACGGACTCACCCTTGAGAGGGGGTCTGCAGAATATCATCAAGGAGAAAAGTCTCCAGGCTAATGTTGCAGTTTCATTTCTCAAACTTTGTAATTTAAAGCAAGTCAGCTCTCGGTGCTGCCATCATTACTTTTTTAGTTTCTTTGGGGGGTTATTTAATGAAAAACATGCTATGTTTTGTTTCAAGCCGAAGTCCTCTCCTGGAAATTTCTGCTTTGGAAAAAATGTTATCATTTAATTTCCTTTATGTAAATTAAAACTAATGAAGTGTGGACATGTCAAAGCAGATGGGATGTTCTGGGCATGCCACTCTGCCTCTGTGCTTTTTAGCAGGCGCTTCAGACTTGTACAAGGCATCCCGTTGTCTTGAGGGAGACAAAATAGACTTGAAGCAGATGCTGCTCTTTTCAGAAACCTGATTTTGCCTCAGATGAACCAAAGACTATTTAAAACTTCTGCTTCATAAAGAGCAGCTGAATAAAGGTATTTAGCTTATAGCTGTTAGTGTTAGGAACGCCCTAGACCTACCTACTCTCCCACACCCATCATAATGCATTTGGGGTGTTTGTGCACCTGACCATCTCAAGAAGCTCGGAAGTATTAAATGAAACTTTGCATCTCCCCCCACATGCTTTAAAACACGGAAAATAAACTCAGGATTGCTGTGTGCTTCCAGACACCAAATTAGCCCCATTGTAGATCTGTGCGTTGAGCATCTAGGGAGTTGTATTAAAGGCTGAACAGCCTCCCTTCTGGGACTAATAGCAGACTCTTGGGGAAGTGCCCCCTAAAATAGGACATGGCAACAGCCAAGTTTCCTGTGGCCTTGCAGGAGCAGTGCTGTTTGGCACTGGGACTCCTGGCAGTGTTCACAGGGAGTTGTCAAAGTGAAGAGGATTTGTATTCGATGTAAGATGGTGGGTTTTGCTGGGGTACTATAATGTTGCCTGTGAGGGGTCTGATTGAGGGGTGGGTGAAGGTGGGTACACAATGCTCAGGGTGATAGGGAGAAACCCCCACTACCCTGAAGGACACCTTCAGCCATCACTTTCCATGCCATGCATGCGCACACACATGCACACACACACGCACACACAGGGAGGCCAGCATAGCCACCCGCACCCTGGAGTATTGGAACTGGAAAAGAAGCTGTCCTCATCCAACTGTTTTAGAGTGGAAAAGGGAGACGTTTTAGCCTTATATTCTGTAATCCATTTACTCTCAACAGGCAGAAAATGGAGAATCTTGTTTCTGGGTAATTACTATGCATATTTGAAATAAAGTATAAGCTTTGCAGTTTTCACTTTTCAAAGAATCCTCTCTGAAAAGTAATGACTTTCAACCAATGCCTATAAAAAGCAAGTCTACCAAAATAAACTTTAAGACTTTCTATAGAGTTTGTACGTATCCTTATTTTTAACCACAAGTTTCAGTTTTTAAAAAAGGCCACCGCTTTGGGGTATAGCATTTTTATTAATATTTAAACATATTTTTACAAAATAAATAAAAGATTTTACATAAGAAATATGTTTGTATTTCTAAGTTTTAAGAAGCTGGTTGAGTTTTTTTGGGGGGTGGGTATATTTTTGACAAATGCATTATGCATCATACAAAAAAAAGTTTTAGTAGACCAAACTGTGAAAGTTGACAAACTCAAAAGCATAAAAAAACAAAAGCTTTTAAATGAATGAGAAATAAATTTACTATAATAACGCCTACATTTCATTCTTTTAAAATTCTTTTAAAATTGTTTCACTTTTGTCTTAACAGTTTCTTCCCCAAGATTTTCACCTTATTTATCATGCTTAAGTTTAGGAACAGCTTGAATAATGCATTTTAGATAATCCATTCACTACAAAGCTACTACAACTTTGTGATATTTATTTGAAAATGTACTTTTCATTCCATTTTATTGATAGCAGCCTCCATAGTCTACCTTAACTGTCTAACAGTTAAAATAAATGAGAACTTTAGGTTGACTTTATGCAGGATCCGTTAAAATTTACTGAGCCTCTTCCACCCCTTATGGTAGAAGGGAGGAAGACTTGGCTGGCAGAACTTTAAAAAGACAAAAGGAATGAGAGCAGAGGGGACAGAAAATACTGTTCTTGCAGATTTCCTCAGGGTATCCCTTCTTCACACCCTGTTCAGTTGGCCACAAAGCTATGAATGGAATGGCTTTTCTAGAGAGGGCCTTCAGTGACATAAAGGAATTCCTCTCCCTGGGAGGCCTCCTGGAGGGCTGAGTCAGTCTTGAATTGGGCTTACTTCTCAAATCCATTTGATCTGGCATTTTTGTCAACATGGTACATGTTAGGGCCAATGCCAATTTTTTCCCCCTTTTTTGTGAAAGAGACATATATTTATTAAAATTCTTCCTCTTCCCCTATCAGAGTCCCACAGAACTCAAGAAATGATATTCCCAAGCTTGCATGTGCAGACTCAAAAATGGAGGTAACACTGTTAGGTTGCCATAGTAACTGGTTTTACATTGAGCTGTTGGCCCTCTTGAAGCCAGCTTGTGTAGGACTCTTCCTTAATGTTCTAAGCTATAAAAATCGTGATGTTTGTTTAAACAAGGAAGTTTTCAGTAGTGCACGTTTTATTTTGCAAGGACAAAAGTACTTTGTTAAACCTCTTAACATGATCATGCACAAATCTTAACAGTCTTCTTTTTTAAAAGTAACCTTTGATATCAAACTGCTCCACAAGCCTTCATGATTTCTATTTACTAAACCAAAAAAGCAAACCAAATTCACTGCCATCGAGTCTATTTCGACTCATACTGACCCCCATTGAGTTTCCAAAGCTGTAAATCTTTACGGAAGTGGATTGCCCCATCTTCCTCCCACAGAGCAACAGGTGGATTTGAACAACTGACCTTCTGGTTAGCCGCCAA